GGTGGGGGATGGGGTGGGTGAGGGGGGCAGGAGCGCTGGGCTGGGTTGGGGGCACCCAGCAGGGTTTGAAGGTACCTGAGGGACCCGGGGGTAGAGGGCTGGGGGCACCCAGCAGGGTTTTGGGGTACCCAGGGGTGCCAGTGACACCCAGCAGGGTTTGGGGGTACCCAAGGGACCCAGGGGTAGAGGGCTGGGGGCACCCAGCAGGGTTTTGGGGTGCTAGGGGCACTGGGCTGGATTGGGGCACCCAGCAGGTTTGGGGGGTACCCAGGGGTGCCAGGAGCACAGAACTGGGTTGGAGCACTCAGCACAGTTTGGGGGTACCCAGGGGTGCTAGGTCAGGGGCACCCAGCAGGATTCGGGGATGCCCGAGGAGGTCAGGGACACCCAGCAAGGTTTGAGGGTGCCCAGGGGTGCCAGGGGCACAGAGTTGGGTCGGGGGCACCCATCAGGTTTCGGGGGCACCCAGGGGTGCCGGTGACACCCAGCAGGGTTTGGGTGTGCCCAAGGGCACAGAGCTGGGTCAGGGACACCCAGCAGGGTTTGGGGGTGCCCAGGGGTACCGGGGATACAGGGCTGGGTTGGGGCAGCCAAGGGGGCCAGAGCCACAGAGCTAGGGTGGGGGGCACCCAGAAGGGTTCAGGGGTACCCAGGGGTGCCAGGGGCACCCAGCACAGTTTGGGGGCACCCAGGGGTGCCGGTGACACCCAGCAGGGTTTGGGGGTGCCCAAGGGGGCCAAGGGCACAGAGTTGGGTAAGGGACACCCGTCAGGTTTTGAGGTCACCCCCGGGGTGCCAAGGGCACAGAACCGGGTTGGAGCACCCAGCAGGATTTAGGGATGCCCAAGGGGGCCAGGAGCACTCATCAGGTTTTGGGGGCACCCAGGGGTGTCAATCTGGCTGAAGGAGCACCCCGACGGCTTGGGGACACCCGGGTGCCAACAACACCCAGCCCCCTCCGGCGGGGGGGGTGGGCGGCAAGCGCCGGGGCCCTCTCACCACTTGGGCGCCGGGCGGGAAGACGTACTGGATGATGATGGTGCCGAATTTCTCGTAGCCGGGGAGGAGGAGGCCGGCGTCCCTGGTGACCAGCATGCGCCCGTTGGGGGGCTGGTTGCCCACCAGTTGCCCGTAGAAGCGCCCGCACATGGGGCAAGCCGTCTTCACCTGCAGCGCCCGCGTGATGCAGTCCTCGCAGAAGGAGTGCCGGCATTTCTCCAACGTTTTCT